AAAAAAAAAAAAGAAGAAGAAACACGCAATCTGGGAATCCCCCAGCAACCTGTTGCAGTGTAATTAAGGGAGGATTCTCAGTCACCTGATCCAGCCCAGCTTTATAAAAAAGGGAAGTTTTAAGCCTAATCTTAACATTAGAAAGAATGAATGTCTCCTGAATCCAAACTGGTTTCACACAAGAGGGGCCTGAAGGCTCTACCAATCATTCTACAAGGTGGGCCATTTATATGGATACACCGTAATAAAATGGGAATGGTTGGTGATATTAAAGTCCTGTTTGTGGCACATGAGTATATGTGAGGGGGAACTTTAATATCACCAACCATTCCAATTTTATTACGGTGTATCCATATAAATGGCCCACCCTGTACTTTTTAATACCCTAATAGCCGTGTGAGTGTTTCATGCAGGGAGGGTAATCCAACCATTTGCATCATCCATATGTGAGAGACAGGCTGGAGGGCAGGAATGAGGAGGTGTGTGAGTAGAGCCAGCGAAGCCTTTTGAGGTGAGTAGAGAGGGAAATCCAGCATTCAGGAAGCAGCTGCAGGTGAGGTGAGTAACGATCCTAGATTGGTTAGCGGAGAACACAAGGAGACACAAGGTACAAGAGCCAAGTTACCACCGTGGGGTAGCGGACGGCTGAATGCTGTTTGATGGCTTGCAGATGGCCACGACAGTTGAGGAATGGAACCCCGGCCTGAGGGTCAGACTAGGATGGTGTGTATTGTAGCATAAAGATGACACTCAATTTGTGCTCCAGTGGACTATAAGAGTGAAACCTAAACATGCATTATGAAGAACTACCCCCAGACAACCAACATGAACATTATTAACTGGCCTGGACTAGCCTTGAATCCCTTTGAAAATCTGTGGGTTGGAGTTTGAGATTCGGCTGGGATAGCTCAGGAGCCGTGTCTGAGACTTGTTAAAAAATGTTAACAAATAACTGTAGGTTGTTATCCAGAAAAAAGGATACATAAATTACTTTTTTTAAAAAGATAGGAAGCTGCTGTGGCTCTAGCTGCTGGTGCCTGGTCTTGCGGATTGCACACCTGGCGTTCGCCTAGGGTTTTGCAGCCGGCTGTTCCCCTGGCACATTGCTCACGGTCTTGCGGGTTCACGCGGCCAGTGGGTCCTTGCTGAGGTTTGCCTGGCTAGTGAGTTCTTTAACTATTGTGGGTGTCTTTCTGTTCCCGAGGTCTTGCAATTTCGCTGCTGCCTACGAGTTGTTGCTGCAGGCTGTGTTCCCCTGGCATATTTCCTGGGGTTCACCAGTTTACGTGCTAGTCAAATCTTGCTGTGTGTCATATGTCAGCTGGCAAGTGAGAATTCTCCAGCCTGCAGTGTCGGCTTCCTGCATATTGCCCACATGTTGTGAGTTTACGCGGCCAGCAGGGGCCCACTGGGGTGGCTGTATCTCAGGAGGTAAAGCAGGGCATCTACTGATCGGATGGTTGGTGGTTCGATCCCTGGCACCTCCAGTCTGCATGCCAAGTATCCTTGGGCAAGATACTTACCCCAAGTTGCTCTTCGATGCATCCATCGGAGTGTGAATGTACTTAGAAAGCACTATGTATAGAGAAAGTGCTTGTGGAATCGGTGTGACTGGGTGAATGTGGCAGGTTGTATAGAGCGCTTTGAGTACTCCGGGAGATTAGAAAAGCACTATATAAGAATCAGTCCATTTACCATTACCATTTACCACTCGGTAGCTCAGTAACCTAAGCTTCCTTCTGTACACGAGTGTCTTGCTCGTGAGTTCACTCCTGCTTTACCCCCACTTGTCTAAGCACTTCACCGAGTTCAACATGAGAACTAAAAAGGCGGGGGGACTTATGTGGTGGCTGGAGGGTTGAGTGTGTTTTTCTGGGTTCGGTTGGCCCCGCCCCCTTGTTATACCAGCGTATAGCAGTCCTCAGCGTCGCAGCGGAGCTGCTGGCCGCCTCCACCCACCAGGCTACGCTGATGAAGGAGCAAGTCGTAGCTACTGCCCATATGGAAAAGAAATAGTAAAAACTCATAAAAGACTTGCATAAGATGTGGCCTACTTCATATAGTGAATCATATAAGGCTTATATGATTTACTCATGAAAGTGGCCACTTTCTCATTACTTTCATATATTGTTTTAGTCCATCCATCCATCTTCATCCGCTTTATCC